ATCAAGATTGCAAGAAAAGCTCAAGGAAGAAAGAAACCTAATCTTGGTAAAGGCTATCATGGTGACCGATCATAATTATTGGAAAAGTATGTTATGATGAGTCATGATTTAGGTACATTCAATCATAGATATCCTTTACTAGAATATACTTGGTTGTTGTCTTTAGAAAGTTCGATTGTGTGCTTCACATGTGTCGTGTTCGATTGAAAAAAATTAACATATATAAATACATAATATTTTTTGTAACGCTATTTAACTTACTATTTGTTACCGATAATGGATATATAAGGATAAATTGTATAACAATGGCAACTAGTAGCACCTGATGATATCACGATTCACGAGGAACACAAAAATACCACATGGAATGTCCCCAAAAGACTGCAGTCAACTGGACCAAATGTTACTCTTTTAAAACTAGGAAAAATAATGTGGTTTACAACAGTTTGAGTTATGTTGCATGTTCATTTTCCCTGACCAAGGTATGGGAATGAAAACTTCATATATGGTTGAATACATAAATGGAAGAAGTATACAAATTCATGGAATTTAAGAATTGTACTATTATATTTACCTGATGATTGTGATCCATATAGGTCCACAGATATTGTTTGATTAAAGAATATAGGAAAATTGAGTGGATTACTTGTTGCTTCGATCGTCCCATACTCAGAAAGAGGTCAGTGTTCGAATTAGTGAGTAGATATCACTTTCAAAAATAATTTTTTTTAGTATTACCGATTCTTTCAATACGTATTACCGATTCTTTTCTAAGGAAAATAATACGTATCACTTTCGATACATAGTACGTATTATCGACTCTTTTTTAAGGAAAATAATATATTATATATCGCGTATCGCGTATCGTACGATACTTATTATTATGCGCTAACCATATATACTATGATGTGAGGGATAACGGAACTCTTCGATGGAATAAAATATACACATTCATTGGCTTTATCGGGAACTAATAAACTTAGTATGTATATCACTTTACATCAAGAACTAATTAACCATAATCAATTTTTATATTTACAAACCATACATATATAAAAAAGTGGCAAAATTTTCTGGATGAAGACGTTTGTATTGCAAAGGGTACGTACAATCATTGGAATATTTGATAATTTATTTGAAGTAAGTGTTGAACAAAATTAGAAATAGTCAAAAAGTAAAAACTACTAAGTCAATCAAAGATTGGCATAATTTGACATCCATGCATGTCAACTATTAAGAGATAGCAATCGTGTGATTCGCTTTGTTTAATCCAAATCTCATCACACTTGACCTGTTAAATCACATATATAGAACGATCATAGTCTCAACACGATTTCTGTGTTACTCATATAATTGTCACATTTTATGTACATCTGTAATATTATTTTAATAATGTGTTGCGTAGAGCAGGATTTCCTGTGAAACTATCGACCGCAATTGGAGGAGATTTTAATTTTTTTAGCTACTTTGTGTGTAGCAGGAGATATTATATTAGATGTTCTATAAATAGATTAATTCAATAGCGGATATATAATCTAACTCGATGTACTTTTCCCATGCCATTTCCTACTGTCTACAACGATATACTCCATCCGTCTCATAATTATTGTCCAGTTTGAGTTTTCATTTTTAGTTCAAATTGTACTAAAACTAAAATCTCAAACTGGACAATAATCTTAGAACAGAGGAAGTAATTGATCCCAAATTCCCAATTTATCAAGTGGAGGAGTTCTGAATCATGATCTAGATCGGATGTTCTTTCCATATTTGGGACAGCTAAGGGTAGACTGATAGGTTTTATGGTGGAATTTTGAGCTACATTGTTATATATATAGCCTTTCTTGTTTCACTACCATGGATAATGTATTAGTTTCTCACCAATCTATTGTATAACAAATTCATGTCATTGTAATTTTGAACACCATTTCTAACAATTTTTTCACTCTCAATAAAAAAATATATATATATAAAAAAATATACTCGTCAATCAATTCAGAAAGTACTCGATCTAACTCTGTAACTCAAATTAAGGGAGCATATATATAAACATTTGCTTTTTTTTAGGGGGGTCGAAAGTACAAAAATTGGCTGTTATCGAACATGAAAGGGTTTTTTGTCACGGTGTCTAATATTTGGTGAAATGAAGGCGTAAATAACGGATAGAACAGGGGGATATATGTCGAGAACCGTTAACTCCTAAAACCTAATTCATGCATTCAAAAGGAGGAAAGAAAAGAAAGAACAAACTCTCTGCATCAAGCACACAGTCACACAGTGGGAGTCCAATAGTAATAAAGATTCCATTTCGATCGTACTGAGTTATTTTGTTTTGATGTATGAAAAAAGGAAGAAGGAAGAAGAAAATAAAAAAAGTCATGTCTTGTCAGCATCAAAATAAAACAGAGGAGTAAATGAGGGTTAAAAAAAAAAAATTAAAATAAATAACAAATGGGAGAAGTAGTAGGCAGTTGTACGTGGTGGTAGGCTTTCGTTAGCAGTGTAATAACTGCAGTACAACAAAAAGACAAAATCAGACGTTGTACAACGGTAAAACCAACTGTAATAACAGAAAATAACAAATGATCGAAAAATTCATCGCACAAAAAGTTTTTTTTTTTTTACCCATGATGGCATTTCACATGAATAACCAACCCTACAGTGAAAGTTGCTCAATGGAGTTCCTGTACTTCTCGGATGTAATATTCTTGCTTTCTAGAAATTATTGCATTTGATTTGATCATGCTTTTTAGGTTTTTTCTTCAATTTTTTTTTTCCCTAATCTTCCTTTTTTAATTTTTTTTTTCGTCTCGCGCAAATCCGACCCTAACTCATAAATCAGACAGAGAGTGAGAGAGGTAAATCATCTCTTTAAGTAAACCTACATTCTAATTGTTTTTAATAAGTGCATGCATGCATGTATGACAATATATATATATATATATATATATATATATATATATATATTATCAAAAAGGGAGATAGATAACATTAATTGGATACAGTAACCACACGTCAGGAATAGGAAATCCCTACAATATCATGGTACAACCAAGAACAGACTCCTGGTGGAGGTGAATTTAGTCAAATAAAACCTCCTAGATTTATCTCCGCCAGAAAATCTAAATAGTCCGTCGTAAAATTACACTCCGTATGTATATAGCCTAACGTAATATTCCAGCTCCTACCTAGCAGCTCCCGAATTGCTCTGAGAAGGCCGTCATGCGCGCAAGGAGGGCGATCATGGTTAGATATTTAATTGAAATATATATGGCCATATATATTTAGTTGATAGTCGATATTTTTTTACTTTTCACAGGTTGATTAAAATTTTCTTTTCTCATGTTGTTTAAGATTCCACACGAAAAGTGTTGATCTCGCTTTTTCTCCAAAAATTTTATTTTCATTTTCTGGATAAATTTTATGGTATTTCGATACCATCATAATCCGACTTTGATCAAACAATTGGTTTGTCCTAAATTGAAATAAAATGTTAAGTGTAACAAGGTAACGAATTTGTGTGTTTTTTTTTTCTTTCTCCAACGCGTGTATGATGATGAGGAAGCAAAATACTTAATTAAATCTCAGCCCTTTGAAGAAAGGTTGAATTTGGTCATCTTTTCTACCGTTTTTTACAGGGGCTTGATAAAAATAAGCATTTCATGCTAGGTAGTAGGAAACATTTTAGTGATTTCGAAAAGAATCATCTTGAAACAAGTATCCACTAAGATGAAAAGAAGTAGTAAAAAGAATATTACATCAATATGTAACCACATAATTCATGACTAATTATTACAAAGATTGTTTTTTTTTTTTTTTCACCTTTAACTACAAGCTAGGCACATAAATATAAACACAAATAGCCACTTCTACTACTTCTAGCTAGGAATTTTTGTGGGGTGTGAGAGACTTTACAAGTCGATTGGACTTAGACAAGAACAAACAAAGGGATCTAAAAAAGATCTACTCTTTTTTGGTCGGTTGTAATTAATTGTCCTTGTGTCCAAATTTGATTTTCCCCTTTTTCTTTTCCTTTTAATTTCTTTTCTTCCATTCAACCAAACTACAAACGAGATAAATGAACTCATCCAATGCTGAATTGATCAGAATATGCTTCCCGGCTCTGAGATGTGTTGAGGAATATCAAAGTATAACTGAGTAAGGTGGAAGCCTTTCCTCCATTAGAATTGATACTAAAGGTATAAGTAAATGAGAATTGAAGGACAACCCCATCCTGCTGCCACAGCTGTTTAACAATTTGCATGCCCTGGTTTTCCCAAAAAAAAAAAAAAAAAAGAGAAAAGAAAAGAAAGAAAGGAGAATTATCAGTACTCATCTCATTACAGTAAACTAGAGGATTATTTCGGGATGGATTGAGTATATATAACTTGAGACATGATAAATGTTCAATTTATAGTGTTTGTCCACCCAACATGAATATAAGCTTTGTTCAAGGCGTAGGAATTTCCAACCCTACTTTGTTCCCTTGATAGGTTTTATTTGTCACCCAATATTTTGATTTGAAATAAAATAAGGGTTTAATATACGTTTCTTGTGCAAATTAAATGAGAGTTTTATTTTGAAAGTATACGACCTTTATTTCATGTTAAAAGGTGATTTTTTTTTTGTTTGTTTAAATTTGTACTTTATAAATAGGACAATATTATTGATCATACATACATTATCATGTACATCATGGCATTACACTAAATATTTATATATAGATCTCTTAGGACAAAAAATATTTGGTATGGAAACAAAACTATTTTTTTTGAAAAAAATTGGGTATAGGGAATAATATGTTTGCATTGAAGACAAAACTAATTAAGATTAAAAAAACATGATACGAAAATGACACTAAATATGTCTCTATTATCGTGTTCAAGAATTGTCACAGATTTTTCTTCATATGCGAAATTGATCCTATAACTTCAGACAACAATTGAAGGCTTACCATATGAGTGTAGGGGCAGCTGTTGCCTTTGGGGCTTTGTTGTTTCATATTAATGGTATGAACACAGGTTGCTGGTGAACCCAGCTGCCTGATTATTATTAATTAGTTTGTGTCTTTGTTCATCCACTTCCCATAAGACCTGTCCATTTGCCTGAAAATGATGTTTTTGTTCTTTCTTAGTAAGTCAAAAAATATATATATATATATTTATATTAAGAAAATTCAAGCTCCATAACAGGAGATAATTATAATACTCCACCCGTCCCAAAATGATTGACAACAACAAACATGATAATAAAGGGGTGTGAACTTTATGCAATTTTTGACAAGTTTTAAAGTACCTGAGAAAGAATTTGTGGGAAGAATACTGAAGGGGAATTGTCTAACTGGGAATAGCTATTGGAAACAGCATCAGTTCTTAAAGTTGTAGTAGTAGTAGGGTTTGTGTCAGAAATGATTGGTGCTTCCATTGGCTTGCTTTGCTGCATAGTGTGTACTGGAGATGCCATATCACTCAAAGTCTACCAAAAAAAAAAAAAAAAAAAAAGAAAGGAAAAATGGAAGAAAAGAATCCATCAGCTACCATCAACAATGCAAAGGAAGCACAATGGTGCAAGATATTTCTAAACTGTGTGCCAGTTTGCAAGTGTACTAATGATACACGAATTCATACAGTAAAATGACTCAGTACATAATATGATATCAACAACGACAATAGAAAAAGGTTTACCTGATCAGGTCTAGTCATGAAGCAGTCTAAATCCATGCCATATTCGTAGAACAAGGGATTTAAGGAAGCAAGCTTCATAGAAAGAAACTGCACAAGGGCCATTTCAACAAAAGTAATTTGAGTTAGTGTATGATCTTAATAAAGATTCAAAATGGGTTGGATTTTAGCCCTCGCTCTATCCCGAAAATGATGGTTCTGTTTATTTTACTAAAATAATATAATTAACAAGGCAATCATTTCGGAACAGAGAGTTTACTAAAGCGAAGCCAAGTGGTCTTAATTTAATTAATTACCTCGACTTGATTTTGTAGGGATTGGACATAATTGATAATTTCATCCAACATGAGGGCCTTTCCGGTTACCTGTATCTCAGTCAAAGCCACTTCATTTTGTCAGAGATAAAAAAATACTCTTCCATTGTGACAAAAACCAAAAAGCATGATGAATTATCCAACTTCACCTTGTCACAACCTGGTACAAGTGCTTGCAAAAGCTTCATCCTTTCACTGATTTTTTCTCTCCTAACCTGATACAAATTTTTCATGCAAAAATTTTCTTTTAAAAAAATTCAGTTCTCTCCATATGATTGACATAGATTTTTAAAGGATTCAATTCTGGAAATGATGAATGATTTAGATGGTGAAATTTTTTGTACCCTTTCTGCTAGGCTGTGGCTATCTGTGGCTTGGCCCCTCCTGGCTCTAACATGAATGTACCCTGTTGGAGCTTCTTGATCAACTTTTTTCTGATTTTTGCTATCTTTTTTGGGTTTGTTTTCTTCATCACCTTTTGCATTCCTGTTGCATTTCCTCTGTTTCTTTGCTCTAGGATGATCACCTATGACCTGCTCAAGAACAGAGCATAAAAACATAAAATTTGGCTGAAATTTTGAAATGATAGAAAAAAAATTGAAACTTTTCAATTAATTACTTTTGATTGAGCAGAACTGGGAGCAGGGCTCTCATTAGATTTCCTTTTGCTATCCATGGATGATGGCAAAACATTCTGAGTAACTTGGTCTTCTCCAGCTTCAAGCTTATCAGTTACAGAGGAAGAATCAGCAGTAACAGTAGCAGTATTGTTTGCTGAGCACTGCTCATTATTGTGTTCCTGCAGAACACAACAGGTATTTTCAATGAGATTGGAAGTGGCATGAGGTTGGTGGAACTGATGAGGAAAAAGGGAGATGATGTTTGGTTCCTCAAAAGGGCCAGACATCCTGAATTGGGAAGATGAGCTTTGCAAATTATTGTACATTGAATCCACCAGGTTGCTGTGTTGTTGGACAAAAGTCTGCTGTAATTGGTACGAAAAAGCTGCCATTTTTTCAAGATGATTGATTGGCTTGTTGCTTTGGGAATTGGAAGTTGTAAAGCAAAAATAAAGGAGGAGAAGAAGAAGAAAGAAGAAGGAGAGGCTCTGAAATGATGTATATACTCTGAAGAGAAAGACAGAGGAGGGTCAGGTTTATATAAAACATGAGAAGAGAAAGGAAGGTAAAAATAAAGAATATATATATAGAATGGCTTCTTGACTTCAAAAATATTTTCTAGCTACCTCATTGGTGTTGTTCTATCTTTCATGCAAATTTACTACTCTTTCACTGTGTTTTTGACTGGTCCAACCCTCCCACAATCACACTCATTAATCATCAATTGGCATGTCATAAAGAGGTGTACTCATATTAATATTTTACTTTACGGAACAGTCTATTCGCGAAAATTAAAAGTAACAATGTGTACAAAGTATAAACGTCTCTCTTCTATACTCTCGTGAAATGGAGACCCTTTTACTGATTATGATTACCATGATTAATATTCTATGTTACTAAACTATTTTTGTTTGACGAAGGTGAAAGATTAATAGATGAGAAAAGGCCAAAAAAGATGTTAGTTATCATCACTACAAATCTACACTAAATGTAATATTGTAGCAATAAGGCTAGTTTCCAAATCATGAATAATTGAAGTAACAGGTAAATCCCTTGTCAACTTTGTTTCTATGTTTTGAAAATCGGACCGAAAGGCGAATCGATAACTTAAGTGGTTCACTAGTTTACCAGTTCAACCGATTTATATCGGCTTTTAAAATCAGTAAAAATCGGCTATAAAAATTATTAAAAAAATAATTAACTTTCAAAATTTCAAAATTTCGGTTTAACCGGTACCGACTCCCGGTCAAATCGCAGTTTTATCTGCATTTGACCGGTTTTTAAGTCTACCGATTATGAATTCTAACCAGATCGAAAAGGCCTCCGATTCCCGGTCGAACCGGTTCGACCGTCCGGTCCTGTCCGATTCAAAACACAGCTTTGTTTTATTACACAGTAACAAAAAAGAGTAGTTTTATTTGCTGAACTTTCTTAGATACTTCAAGAAAGTATTACTTTTGTTTAAGTTCAGGTTTGTTGCACTTTATTAACCTTAAGAATAGAATCGGAGATAACGATTGCAGAATTCTTGTTAGCATTTTTGTCTGTAATAACACTATTATTCAACACAAATGAATTTAGTGATCACAAGACATTTACTGTTCATGAACAGTGGTTAAGGTATGGGGAAGGGGGGGCTACCCGAAGATCTGAGGTTGTATCTTCAGACAAGTCCATGCCGATTTGTACTGAATTTTATAGTAATAATTTTGAAACACTTAATTTATGGTCCTGAATGAAGTAACTGTGAAAAAGATTTATTACAATTTACAACAACACTTTGTCAGTAAACTTTTATCAGTTGTAGGGAGCCATTCTTTTTTCCGCCACCAATGATTCAGAGTTACAGTGAATCAGAAATGATTCAGAATCAGTTAATTAAATTTCAATGACTGGTCGTGGTAAATTATTTTGGGTCGCATCAACAAAATTCAACATAGGCCGCCTGCTTCTTCTGCTTTGGAAAAAAAAAAAAACTAACTACGACATTTATTACTGATGATAGGTCACTGCTTTGATGATTTAGATTATTTTCCAGTTATATTCAAGGCGTATATAAGGGATTTGATGAGTGAAACATATATTGTATGTGTGAGTCTAATTTGTGATAAATTTATAGCCATTTTGTGGTATGAATAAACCAGGACTGTTTTTAATAGTTATGTTCTTTTCGTCTCAAAATAATCGTTTAGTTTAGATTTTTTATTTTTATTTTTTTATTTAAAATTCATACTAAAAATAAAATTTCTAACTGAACAATGGTCAGGAGACAGAATGAATTAGTACCAACCAAATTGTGGAATCAAATCATGTTAACAGAGTCTAACACACATCAAATCTTTTAAGCTTTCAGTTATTGGGGAAAAAAGAAATCATTCATAAAAAAAGAAGAAGAAAATTATAGAATAAAGAAAACAGAAAAAGGGAGAATTACTTTGGAATGATTTGCCCCTTTTGTTGTACTCTGTAGTTAAGTTATTTTGTTATAACTTATCCCAACCAAATTAGTCAGTTGGTCTGAAACATATTTGGTTGGTCTTCTACATTCTTCATCTTCTTCTTTACATGGGTACACAAAAGTGATCTTTCAATGAAATATAACATTATACTTTTAATCTTTATCATATAAAACCGTAAAACGCTCTAAGTCTTGTCCAAGGGTTAAGTCAACCGGACCAATTTGGAGATTTGCACGTTAAAGAGTGTACTTACTAGAACAAAGTACCGTCATTTGTCCATTACATGCATTTGGGAAAAAAAAAATATATACTACTTCCGTCCCCAAAAAAAAAAAAAATAGTCCACATTGAGTTTTTAAATTTGTACTAAAAACAGTATAAAATTCAAAATTCAATGTGGACTATTTTTTCGGGACGGAGGGAGTAACTTTTTACATTTAGAAAGTCCCTTTTTCAAATCTCTTCATTTTGTGATCTTAGTCTTTTTTATCCTTGAGCTTCACATGATGTACTGCGCATTTCTGCATCCCTACATGATGATATAACTTCAACTTATTTAATTTCAGTGAAATATACTCAGCGAGACGCCTAAGTACATGTGGAAGCTAGAGAAAGATAAAAGCGATCTAAAAATGAATGAAAGGATCAACTTTTTTATTTTTTACTAAATGTAGAAAGACAAATATAGCACTCTTATAATTTTCTTTTATATGCATTAATAACCAGTGCAATAGGAGGGAGAGTTGACAGTGCAGGACTATGATGATGTCGTACTCCATGCAGTTGGAAAACGGCTAGTCATTTATGAATATTGGATGTCTTTTTTTAAAAACAATTTATTAAGAATATTGGATCGATGATTTGAGTTAGAGTAGAGCTAGAGAATGAAAATTTAATACTCACAAAGTCCCCAGAAAATAATTCGGATTGTATACTCTTTCAATCTGATAGAATGATTTAATTTTATAGCACAAAGGGAGTATTATTATAGTTTGATTATATTAGTTTTAAATTGTTATTTCCTTGTAATTAACAGTGTGGGAAATGTCGCTCCTTGGTTTGGGGCTTTGAGCAACTCTAGATTTTTTTTGATGTGGATTACTCCATGTCTTAAAAAAGTAATCTATATAAAATTTTCAAATTTATACTAAACTTAGTATAAATCTCAAAACTCAATATAGACTTTTTTTTTTGGGTAGTATATAATGTATGAACCATTTGTCACCCAAACATAATTCCTGCACCACTACTTTGTCAAAAACCATTTTTATTTACCCAAAATCATGCGTACAAAATGTATGTTAAATACCTAAAAATGTTACTCTCTTTATTTAAAATTATTCCAAGGTTTTTTTTTCTTCATTTATTCTTTATAATTTACTTTCAAATTTACCCGCCCTTTCTGGCTTTCTTTAGTTAGCTACACTTTCAAATTTGTTTGATTAGTGTCCTTTTTTTTTTAATAATAGTCTGGGGACCTTTATATTAGTAATTATTTTAACCTAAAAAAATAGTTCATATTAAGTTTTGATATCTGTATTATTATATAAATCCCAATTTATTTATTTATTTTATTTGCATTTCCAGCTTATTCCAAAAGTTTAAATATCAAGAATTTAAAATAATAAATAAAAACAAAGAATTAAAAGCTAAAACATAAATTGTATTAATTACTGTATAAAATAGAATTTCTAGATTTATACATTAAAAAAAACTGAAGTACATTTGAATAATAACATCTCTAACTAACTTGACAATACACTTCTACTCTAAGTAATGTTGCATGTTCACAAAAGCGTGCTTGAGTGATTGATGACCTTGGTAATTGCTCAATTCATGTCTTCTCTGCTCTAGGGAGTGCTCCAGCTTGTCATACATATTAGAGAATGAACTACCAGTATTAGACAACACCTCCAAGATACAACTTCCAATTAGTTTGTCCAATACTTCACCATGCATAGTTCATTCAAGAATCACTGCACAACATCAACAAAGCTATATTGTTTTGTCCAAAAAGTGAGCCTCTAAAATGAATGCACAGAAAAGTAAAAATAAAATCCATATAGATTACTATTATATAAATGCTAAGAAGAAAGGTATTTTGGAATTGAACTAATTTTAGCTAATGTTCATACCTCAGCTGCCTTTTTTTTTTTTTTTTCTGAAAATATGAGGTTTGCTATCTGCAAAAATCCTCAGTTCTATATTCTGAAAATTAAGAAAAGGACACCATAATCAATTTGATAAATACACTTCAGGATACAATTGTGTTTCATGTTGTATTTAGCAAGCAAAACATAAAAATCATTAGGGGGAAAAAAGGAAAAACAAAACAAAACACTTTATTACAATTATTTTTGAATAACACTTACAAGAAAGACCTCACGAGCAATAGGCTGCAAATACTTCTTCAAAGTTGCAGTCCAAATCCCAAACTTAGAGGTTCAAATCCTCCTGAAAGTAAATGACATTTAATAGTCAGACTGCTTAGGTTCTAATGAACATTTTCTTAACAATTGCTTCTTCCGCTACACATCCTAATATGTTTCATCCTACTCAGCAATGAATTATGTTCAATTTCCACCTCACAGCAGGAACTCTTGCACAAAAGAACCATAATTATAAATTAAATCAAAGAGTGCTGTACATATAACATCATTGCTTGGCTTATGCATTTGGAAGAAAAAATTAACAATTTTATAATTGAGTAAAGTTTCATGTGGTTCTATTGTTTTAAATTAAACACTACAGCAATTTCATCCAAAAATTTTATATTATTAAGCAAAACAAACAACATGCGCAAACAAATTCTAACTACGTTACTGGATAAAAAAAAAAAATCCTTATAAAAGTATTTTTACAATAATGTACAAGATCTAAAGGAAAATTAAGATATCTACTACAGCGCAAAAAGAAAACCTTAAAAAAAAAAT